TGCAAGTTCTTACATCTCAGGGGATTATCTCAAGCACCCTCCAATCCATTCTTAATCTCTTATAGGGATTAAGATTATACAGCAGCATGATTTTTTAAAAATACAAGTAAGATCATGTCACTTTCTTCCTTAAAACATAAGGTAAGGCTTCATATAGTACTTAGAATAAAATCCACAATTCTTACCTTAATAACTTTATTTGATTATTGGAATGTAATCAGAATGTAAGCTCCTCAAGAGCCAGAGAATTTATCTTTTTCTCAGTATATAATCAGCACCAAGTACAGTACCTCACAAAGAGATGCCATGAATAAATGTTTGATGAATAGAAGGGAATTAAATAACTAGAATTTCATGTTTGTGGTAGTAAAAACTTGAGACCGTATTAAAGGTAAATTGGTTTCCTTTTTAGATTGCTCTGCACAAAATTGTCACTTAATGTTTTGTGAATGTTTTTATTGTATGTCTGTCATTCTTGTAAACTGCAATGTTATTGACATGTTAGTATTTTTACTTGTCCCTCTTTGTCTTTGCTATGTCTAATAATATGAATACATCGTGACCAAATTACAAAAACCTAACTTCAAAGGAAGTTGGCTTTAATGTATGGGTCATTGTCTATTTTCCTTCATCACAATTACTATCCTTACAAAAGCATTGATCAGAATGAATGAACTCAACTTGGCTGCCTCAGTGATAACAGGTACTAAAAGAAGGTACCTATTCCTAATTTCTAATTGTTTGCCTATCTGTTGTCAACTGCTATTTCTGTAGTTGACATCAAGTACTTATTTTCAGTCTAACTTTTGGCAGTATAGCTTTGATTTAGTCATGGACACTTGGTGAAAGACTTTTGAAAATAAATGCTAAATACTTTGTTTCCATAATTTGAGTTGTTAACTTTTTCAGGAAGCTCATAAAATGGTGAGAGAAGCAAATATCAAGCAGGCAACAGCAGAAAAACAGCTAAAAGAAGCACAAGGAAAAGTAAGTTTTTGCTGCTTTTACTAGTATAAAATTTAAAGAAATT